TATATACTTCTGTTGGTTTAAAACAAAAATAAAAGCATTCAATCTCCAGTACTTACATAAAAAGCTGGGCTGGTGGTATGCAGCAGTAATCCTAATGCTGGGGAGGCAGGGACAGGAGGATCCCTGGGGCTTGTTGGCCAGCCAGTATAGTTGAATTGGTAAGTTTCAGATTCAGTGAATTCAGTGAGAGACTCTGCCTCAAAGAATAAGGTTGAGATCAATTGAAAAAGGCACTCAATGCTGACCTCTGCACACACGTGCACATACACATACACACTTTTGAATAGTATAATAATTGGACATATCTATGAGTGATAGTGTAATATTTCACAGTAATTAGCATTTTTATTTCCTTATTATTAGCTTTGGGATGACAGTAGTTTACAAGAACCTAATGTAGAGTTGCTGGCTTAGATAGAGAAATCCAAAGTGCCAGATGATAGGGAGTGCCTGGGAAGGAGTGGCTGGATGACAGCTGACTTGACAAATTATTTCTAGCTTACATATTGTCTAGATTTACAGTGGTATGGACTAAGATATATTCCTCCAGGTCAATCTGAAAAAGTCGATGTGAATGGAAGCAAATGGACTGTTACTACCTTTCACACCACGCCCCACATGCCAACTTACCTTGTTGCACTTGCTGTATGTGATTATGACCATGTCAACAGAACAGAGAGAGGCAAGGAGGTGAGTAAAGAAGATCCCATAGGTAAGAGACATGTGCTGACCACATGGCATCCATCTGATCTACCTCCGTAACCCTCTGTCGCCTCCTGCTTCTCTTTCCCAAGCCCTGAGGAGGTGTGGCTTTGCAGAATGTGATGCAACAAACTGGGTATGGTGGCACCCTCTTTTAATCCCAGCACCTGACAGACCGGGATAGGAGGATCATGAGTTTGAGGCCAGTTTGGACTATATAGTGAGACCAACCCTCCCATCCCCTTCAAACCAAAGGAAAAAGGAATGAGACAAAATTTTCCATGATAGCTCTTTGTAGATGTTTCCCCATGTGAAGCCCATTTTTCAAGGCAAGTTCTTAGTGCCATCTTCCCATTTCTACCTTTATAGGGAAGAGAGAGAGAGAGAGAGAGAGAGAGAGAGAAAGAAAGAGAGAGAGATAGAGAGAGACAGAGAGAGACAGAGACAGAGAGACAGAGACAGAGAGAAACACTGGCACTGGAAGATATGTTGCTTACTGGGGCATATTCAAAGTGCATAGCAAGCAGGGTGGCCCCGGTACTGACCAATCAAAACAGAGCCCAGCCAGGGGCAACTGCAGTGGCTGGCTGGAGTGGTGCATGCTGGTTAAGCATCATTCCTATTTAAGAGTTATCTAAATTTAGCTGCTGTCTGTGTTCCTTAACTCTGGGTCTGCAACACTTCCTCAGCATTGTGTAAGGTATGATGCTTTCTCCTAGACATGGTCTTAATTCTTATTATAAGGTTTTATGAAAACATCATGATTTGGTGACAGTGTTTTCCCTGCTTGCCTACGCTCCATCATGGAGTATGGTGATAACTAAGGTCAGTGCCTTATGCCCAGTTATTTCTGATTGTGTTGGCTTCACAGAATGAGAAAAGTGAGGTTATGCAGCTGACTGAGCAACTCTTGGACCGGCCTGAGATCTTCCAGGCTCATACCATTGACATATAGAGACAAGGAAGCTGCGGGTGAGCCAAGCCAATCATGAGAGAAAAATCCGTCAAAGCTATTCTGCCTACACTCCTGCCTACCTATGAATAAATAATAAATGCAGTGTTGGATGTAAACAGCAGCCTATCATCTTCCTGAGCTGCTGGTTCCAGCCCTATTTCTCTTGTTGAACAGTTTCTAGGTGATCCTCGACCTTCACAGATGTAACACTGGCCTAGTCAGTTGTTCATGGCACATAATCAGTACACACACTCAGGCATGATTTGGAAGCATGCTTTGATCCTGGTGAGAAGGAGCAGACCTCATATTTCCCATAGCTAGTGAGAGACCTAGGGTAGTCCCACAGCATTTGTACCAAATGGCTTGTGGTCAGCATTTCTGCTCAATCAACGATTCTTGCAAAAATCTGCTTTGCCCTGAAAGAGCACCCTATTATAGAGAATGCCAGCTGTCACAGAAACAAAGAGGAAGAACATGCCTAAGAAAGTAAGGCTCTTAGCCAGAAAATGAAGTTTGGGTTCAGTTTATCAATGGAATGTTGCATTTGGCTATGGTTCAGCTCTACAAAGTGAGGAAGTCTACTGTGTGTTCTGCAAGGGAAAGGAAATACAAGCTTGGAATAGTGTCCAGCTCATCCAAAAATTACTCATTAAGTAAGAGATCAAGATTTAAAGACCTCAAGAACATGGCTATGTGACACAGGAGGCTAAACAGGAGACATTGGTAGGGATGGAAATGGCTTACTTGGTAGACTTGGGCAACATGGGCATTTGTAAAGGTATCTTTCCTTCTGCTGTCCAGATCTACTGTGTCCACTGAGGTTACAAGAACACATTGGTGGGTCACGTGTGGTTTTGAAGGACTTTATGGCTACATCTTTAAAATGGTCCTCACTGACCTGTGTTTCTTGTAGCCTCTTGGGGGCACACACCCTCCAAACCCAGCTTGAAGTTCCCATAATTCACCTCGCTTTTGGCATACCAAATGTCCATTTGTGGGAAGAGATTTATAAACTGAAAATTCATGTGCAAGTACTAATTGATAATGCCCTCATCCCTTTCAAAAGGCTACAGTTAAAACTGATTGTCTCTACTATGGGAAGAGGAGAGATAACTGTTATTTCCACCCTGTATAATGGCCTTTGGAAGTTGAACAAACTTCCTAACTTTGGTCTCAGAAGTTAGAAGTTTAGTTTAAAAGCAGAGCAAAGTCCCAAGGACATCTTTTCCAACAAAACAAGGCTTTTGCAGCTCAGGAAGAAAGAAATCAGTGAGGGGATCCAGGCTGGAACGTCAAAAACAAGTGGCTATATTTTGTGAACGAGAGCATTCCTGAACCTTCGCATAATTCAAAATTCTCAAAATTCAAAACAAAATTTCCAGCAGAAACAGACACATAATGAGGTGGACATGTTCCTGGAGCTCATACGTCTGCAACTGTTGTGCTGTTTTTCTTTTCTCTTTAGTCTTTTCAGCCAATGCTCTGCAGAGAGCACTTTCTTAACAGAATTCACATAAAGGTGCACATTTTAATTCCCTTACCTTTAACTTTTGTCTTAAGGACTTTAAGTTTCATGCATGTTCTTTGTCATTAGTGCTGATAATTGCTTACAGAGAAAAATAATGCTGTAGAGTTTAAAATATTTTAATTCCTAGCACTTGGGAGGCAAAGGTAGGTTGATCTCTGTGAGTTCAAGGTCAGCCAGGCCTACATAGTGAATTCCAGGCCAGCTGGGGTGACAGGGAGACCCTGTCTCAAACACACACACACACACATCACAATAGGACTACAGGTTGAAACAGGAGCACAGCAGTCATAAAAATCAGTCACACAAATAGGTTCCCAAGTGTCCAAACAACAGCGTGCTTATACAAAAATGACAGCAGTGCCTTTTGCCAGCTAAACTGGAAATATCATTATAACACAACAGAGCATATAATTCACTTACTCCAACAGATTGGTGGTATGGACCATCCCAAGGATTATTTTACAATTACAGAGTTACACATTTTTTAAAATTAAAGTTTAAGTAACACACTTCTAGTGGGGGATGTCAATCACTCAGTGAATTGCATTCTGGGATTTTCTCAGAATATATATGAGCTTAAATATTTAAAAATTTTTGCTTCTTCTGAAAACATAAGACACTGGCTCTAAAAACATCAGGGAGTGAGATCTGGCTTTGGTAGGCTAAGGCTGAGATCCTAGCAGACAGCCTGAGAAGGTAGGTTCAGACCTCCATCGGTATAGAGGCTCTGATCTCAGCAGAGCACCAGAGAGTGTCCAGTTCTGGCTGCCCTCTGGCCTCCCTCTGGCAGAGGGCCTGAGAACACAGGGGATTGCCTCAGAGCGCCTTGATCCTTCCTCTACGTGGTGAAGGAAGCCTGAGTGTACCTGACTGGCACCTGAATTGGGCTTCTCTGGGTACTCCTGAATAGCTGATCTGAAGCCATCAGTTCCCTCCAAATTAAACCTAAGAGAACCTGAACCCTGACCAACCAGCTTTACATAACCAATAAAGAAAGGATCTAGGTACCCTGATAATACAAAAAAAAAGCATTCTTCAACTTAATTCTCATATGAAAATCATAAACAAGAAATTCACATGCCAAAAAATCACAATGAAAGAATAATAAAATGGAAAGCCAAAACACTATGTCCCCACAAAACTCCACCAATCCTGTGGAAGAGTTCTACAAGGAGAACTCCCTAGAGATAACCCAGGACACTGAATTTTAAAAAACAATCATAAACTTGATCAAGGAATTCAATGAATTTAAAGAACACACAAACAAATCAAAGAGCTAAAAAAAGACAGAGATAAACTTCTGAATGAATTTACTAAAGAGATCGAAACATTGAAGAAAACTCAGGCAGAAATGAAGGAGGTGCAAAACTCAGTAAGCCAACTTGAAACAACAGGGGAAAGCCTCACTGCTAGAATGAACAAAATGGAAAACAGAATATCAACACTGAAGGATAAAGTTGAAGAATTGGACCACTCAAGCAAAGGTTATGGAAAAATTTAAAAAACACAGGAATGGAATATGCAAGAGATGTGGGATGCTGTGAAAAGTCCAAATCTATGGATTATAGGAATAGAGGAAGGAGAAGAATTTCAGGTCAATGGTATTGATCAGATCTTAAACAGGACTGTAGAAAAGAATTTCCAGAAATTAAGGAAAGACATCCCCATACAAATACAGGAAGCACATAGAACACCAAATAGACAGGATCAGAAAAAAAAAAAAACTCCCCATGACATATCATAGTAAAAACACTAAGTACAGAACAAAGAGAGAATACTGAAAGTAGCAAAAGAAAAACAACAAGTCACATACAAAGGAAAGCCCATCAGAATTGCAGCTGACTTATCAATGCAAACTATGAAAGCCAGAAGAGCCTGGACCAGGGTATTTCCAGTTCTACATGACAATAGATGTCAGCCTAGAGTACTTTACTGAGCAAAAATGTCTATTATAGTTGAGGGGGAAGGAAAAATCTTCCATGACACGAATAGTCTGAAAGAATACATGTCTACAAAACCAGCCCTTTAAAGAATACTTGTAACAATACAAAGAGGAGAGAGATAAACAACTATACCCCAGGGACAATGAAAGAAAATAAATAAAGGTAATATAAAATCAAGGAAACACAAAATTAGACAGAGAACACAAAGAGCAATCAAAACGACGGCAAACAATACACATCTTTCAATAGTAACCTTAAATATCAATGGACTGAACTCCCCAATCAAAAAATACAGGCTAAGAGAATGGATTAAGAAACAAAATCCATCTCTTTGCTGTCTACAAGAAACCCATCTCACCTTCAAGGACAGGCATTACCTCAAGGTAAAAGGATGGAAAAAAATATTCCAAGCAAATGTCACTAAGAAACAAGTAGGGGTTACAATTCTAATATCTGACAAAATAGACATCAAAGTAAAACTAATCAGAAGAGGTAAGGCAGGTCACTTCATTCTGATCAAAGGAACAGTTAACCAAGAAGACATTATAACTCTTAACATATATGCACCAAACTCTGGTGCACACAAATTCATAAAAATAACACTACAGGACTTTAAGACACAGATTAACCCCAACTCAGTAATAGTAGGGGACTTCAGTACCCCACTGTCTCCATTAGACAGGTCAACTAGACAAAGAATAAAGAGAGAGACATCTGAATTAAATGATACCATACATCAAATGGACCTAACAGACATCTTTTGAATATTCCACCCAAGCACCAAAGAATACAATTTCTACTCAGCAACCCATGGAACTTTTTCAAAAACTGACCAAAAAACAAACCTCAACATATACAAAAAAATTGAAATAATTCCATGCATTCTATTGGCCCACAATGCAGTAAGCTCAAAATCAAGACTGAACAAAGCCCTAGTCACTATAGGTACTCATGGTGATTAAACAACACACTCCTAAACAATGAGTGGGTCAAAGGAGAAATTAAGAAAGAAATAAAAGAATTTCTGAAATTCAATGAAAAAGACAATACAACACAACACAACCTCTGGGACACATTAAAAGCAGTCCTAAGAGGGAAGTTTATAGCTCTAAGTGTCAACATTAAAAATTGGAAAGAACCCAAATAAATTACCTAACACTGCAACTCAAGACACTGGGAAGGCAAGAACAAATGAAACCCAAACCCAACAGAAGAGAAGAAATTAAAATCAGAGCAGAAATTAATGAAATAGAAATAAAGAAAGCAATACAAAGAATCAACAAATTTAAGAGCAAGTTCTTTGAAAAGATACATAAGATTTATAGGCCCTTATCCCAATTAACCAAAAGGGTGGACCCACAACAAAATTAGAGATGAACAGGAAGCATTACAAACACAAATCAGAGATGAAAAGGGAAACATCACAACAGACACCCAAAAGATCCAGACCATTATAAAGGAATATTTTAAAAACGTATATGCTACTAAATTTGAAAATCTAAAAGAAATGGATGGATGTCTAAAATCATGGGAACCATCAAAGTTAAACCAAGAAGAGACCAACAGTTTAAACAGACCCATGAAACAGTAATACAAAGCCTCCCAGGCCCAGATGGTTTTACAGCAGAATTCTACCAGACATTTAAAGAAGACCTCCAACCAATAGTTCTCAAAGAAAGAAATAAAGATGGCTAAGAAACATCTAAAAAAGTGTTCAACATCATTAGTAATTAGGGAAATGCAAATTAAAACCAACCTAAGGTGGTTTTACCCCAATCAGACTGGCTAGGATCAAGAGAACAAATGATATCAAATGCTGGTGATGATGTGGAGGAAGGGGAGTGCTCATTCACTGCTGATGGGATTGCAAACTCATGAAACCTCTGTGGAAAACAGTGTGGAGAACTCCTAAAAAACTAAAAATGAACCTACCATATGACCCGGTTATACCACTCCTTCGCATATACCCAAAGGACTCATCCTATGGTAGAGACACTTGTACAACCATGTTTGTTGCTGCTCCTCTCACAATAGCTAAGAGATGGAAACAACCTAAATGTCCCTCAACTGATGAGTGGTTAACAAAAATGTGGTATATTTACACAGTGGAGTTCTATTCAGCAGTAAAGAAAGATGAAATAATGAAATTTGCAGGTAAATGGATGCATCTAGAAACTGTTATACTAAGTGAAGTAACAGACTCGGAAAAACAAACTAAATATGTTCTCCCTCTTATGTCGATCCTAGCACCAAATCCTTTTAAATTTTAGGTCCTTTTAATAAGAAGATGCTATACAGCAGTCCCTTCTGCATGAAATAACTACCATCATCACAACATCAGCTGAGCCTGATCGCTAAACATATTCACAATTGGGCTTGTTGATGGTTGTGCTCACTCATTAAAGGAGGGCCAAGCAGGATCATTGGATCCTCACTGGATTATCCAGCCACTCTTCCCAGCCAACTGTATGTAATTTGGCCCTAATCACACATGGTCTCCTGGATTTGGGGAGGGCTAAACTATACAATCTGGGGAAGGCTAGGAAGAGAAGCATGACTCATGCTGGGTAAAGGCTTTCCAGTGGGTATAGCCTCGGGTAATACATGCACCTCAGCAACCCCTAAGTTATCTTGGTAAGTAAGCTCAATAAATTCAATGGTTCCCCAGTAAAACTTTAACCAAACATTGGTTTGACACTAGAACCTTAAAAGGGTTAAATAAGCATTGCTTAGCATCCCCAGGAAAAGAAGTCTCACAACAGATAGAAAATTATTTGTTAATGCTATTATGTCTCAGAATTATTTTTTTTTAAAAAAAAAGAAAATGAAAATGTAAATGATGTTAAAAGGATATGGGAATGGAGGTGTTTTCCAAAATAGAAAAAAATGAGAATGTCTAAGCATGTGATGAAGGTCTGTTTAGAACAGGTGACAACATGGACTGGAGAGATGGCTCAGCAGTTAAGAACACTGGCTGTTAAGAAAGTGATGAAGCTCTGTTTAGGTTTTTTATGATATATAAAGGATGAGATGAAAATACTATACACATAATCTTAAAATGTCTATGGTCATAGTTTAGTCAACTAGCTTAAGGAACAAATCATATATCTAGTCAAAGTTTATCTGAGAATATTTTGTTTTGTACCCAAGCTTTATCTACATAGCACATGATAATTAAAAGTACCAGACTGGTGGAACTAACCTTATTGGATGTTTAACAGCCATAGTTTGAGGCCTTTACTAATGTGGTCAGAGGGACTTAAAGGACAGTTTTAGCCCCTTGTCCTCCAAGGTCGACCAAGTTCCAGGGGACTATGGAACATCTCTCAAAATGTCCTATAACTGTGGTGAGCCACCTGTCCTCTTGTTCAGAGAGGCCATGGAGACCCCACGAGACAGACTTGAACCAGTGTCCAGTCTACAAAGAGGAGAGTCAACTCAGAGGAAACATCTCATTCATGCTTCCCAGCAAAACCAGACATGGTGGAGCAGGACCTTTGACTTATCTTCACATAGATGCAACTGGTAAAAGAAAGGAGCCAGGAGCTCCTCCCAAGTCCATGTGACCCTTGAGGAACAGATCCTCAAATGACCTTAAGTGTAAAAATAAATTGATTTATTTGGGCCAATTGTATGGTCTTAAAAGGAAAGTGTAGCCAAAGAGTAAAGTCATCAGTATATTTCTTTAAGAGTTCAAGGGATTACACTTCCCAGTCATGAGGCTTAAGTCTATATAAAAACTTATTTAGACAATTATTTCTCATTGAAGATTTTGTTCCTAACCAGAAAGTGCTGCTCAGGTGTAAGACTTCAAATCTTGGTCTCCAATGCTGTAGGGCCCACCTGTAGCTAAAGGAGACAACCAGCTATTTTTCTAAAATGATGGATAAATTTGTTTTCTCTCCCATCTAGAAGCCTTTGAGAGGTAACTGACACTGATTATAGCCACTCCAACAGCTATCAAAATGCCTGAAAACGAACCCAATAGGGGGATGCTTTTGGAAACTGTTGTCAAGAAATTCCAATGGACTCTCATATGAACATTTGAAAATTACCCTGTTCCTACTTTTTTCTAGTTCCCTGTCTAGAACTTGTAATGGTAATTACTCTTGCCTTACTTCTCCTTCACATCTCCTGTTCACCAGTCAAGGACTTTCTTTACCCCTTAGAGATAAGAGTTATGCAATTTGGGAGTCTTTTAAGTAGACCCACTGAAGGGTACCCCAATTGCCTCTCCCTGGGTCCCTGTTCAGCCTGGAAGAAGCCAGAGCAGTCTGCATCCTGATTCCCTATTGGCAATTTGGGTAACCTCTTCAGAGGATGGCATGATAAGAATAGGAGGTGGGATTTGGCTAGGTAGTTAGGGTAAAAAGACCCCAACGAAAAGTAGCCAGTTGCCAGTTCCTTGGCTAAAAGTCAAAATGTCCTTGGGCCTGTTAGCAACATACTCTGTTCCAAAGGTCAAAAATGTCGATAGTATTTGGGAGCTTGTATCTAATCCTTAAAAGATTTTAGGGTTGCCTCTTCAGAGGGGGCAATGTTAGAGTAGCCAAAAGCCACATTAAAAAAATAAATAAGTCAAAGAAGAAAAAAAAGAATGATTCTTTCTAGGGAAAGTTATTGACTAGTTTTGAATATGAAGGAATTTCTTAGGATACTGGGAGTGGTTTATAGCTTGGTCTGGGTGGTGGTTAGCTACGTATACATATTTGTATGTATAAATATTCCCTAAGTTATGTAGTTAAGCTGTGCATTTTATGAATGCTACACATAAACCCCTAATTAAAATGCACTATTTTTTGCTTTGCTTTTTGCTTAAGAGAGTCCTAGCTATGATACTGCTGATTTGGATAAGGATCCTGTATTCACTGTCTGTTGTTGCATAAAGATTATTCTAAAATTTTGCTGTTTAAAAAAAATCAGGGAGCTGGAGCAAGCTGGCTGGCACTTTTTTTTTTTTTTTTTTTTTTTTTTTTGAGACGAATCTACCTGTAGCCCCAGCTGGCCTAGAACTCACTATGTAGACCTGCCTCTTCCCACCTTTGCCTGCCTCTTCCTCCTGAGTGCTGGGATTAAAGGTGTGTGCCACCACACCCAGCCAGGCTGATACTTTTCAAAGTCAATATTGCTGTACCTAATTATTGCTTATTGTCTCATTTAGATACGTGTCTGGGCCCGGAAAGACGCCATTGCAAATGGAAATGCAGACTTTGCTCTAAACATCACAGGTCCCATCTTCTCATTTCTGGAGGATTTATTTAATATCAGTTATCCACTTCCAAAAACAGGTGAGACATTTTTAAAATTCCATTGCAATTGCATTCTGCCTTGTAGCCTGAGTTGAGGTCACAGGATACAAGCTTTCAAGAGGTTACTGCACTAATTAGCGTCTATTTTGGAGTTAACTTCCTGACCATTCACCATTGTATTTGACACCTGCCAAAACACACCTACCAGCTCTGCCTATGCCTTCTCGGGTGCCATCAATCAGCAGGTCAAAAGCCCTGGCATTTCTGATTCCTCCTGAGTGTCCAGTGGAGCCCCTTCTTTGGGTCTTGCATTTTAAAACATCTCTCATATTCTGTATTTTCTCTATGATGCTGTGCTTTAGAACACTTTAGCTAGTGAGCTGTCATGACTTATTCTAAATATTCTTTAGCTGTGAGTCATTGGATTAGAACTTGGTTTCCCGTCTGTGGGTTTCATTGTAAAAATTGGAATCATGTGTAGAATATAATATGATCCTTGAAATATTTATGTAAATATTTTCTCTCTCCTAGATGTTTGGTATGTTCAAAAAGTTGTATGAGCAACTCAGCTCAGAAAGTTGTTCAATGTGGTTGTTTTTTTTTTTTTTTCTCTTTAAATTGTTGAGTATTGTGTAAATTTATTTTGTTTTTCCAACGTGTTGTTGAAATCTTAGAAACAGTATACTCTGCCTATATTGGCAGATGCTAAAAGAAGGTGGGGAGAAAATGTTTGGCATATGAGGCCCTGAAACACCAGGAAGACAGGCTCTGCACCTTGACCATTTTTGTTTAGGAGAAATAAAGAGTGAAGTGTTGGGAACTAGCCTAAACCCAATTAGAAACTCCAGTGCTTCCTGTGACTTAGAAAGGAGCCAGCAGGCTTGCAAACCAAGATCCTAGCACTTCTGTGCTGGAGGTGCTCATGGTAGCCCTTGCCCAGGCAAAAAACAATCCATCTGTGCTCATTAGATAAGAACTCTAGAGTTATCCTTGTTCTTATACTGCATTCTGTCCATCAAATGAGACACTTTATTCTTTCTTTCCCCAACCACTTACTGCCGCCCCACTCCCTGTTTCTCCTTAGTGTATGTCTCCAGCATCTCTACTCAAACAGTCCTTAGATGGTTTTACTCTCCAACGTGTTCTCTTATATGGAGCTGGAAGTTTTGTAGAGAAATATATTATGTTAAAGTTTTCTGCAGCTTTCCATTACCCTGAGAATAAAGTCAAAGCCCTGACCGTGTCTTTACAATAGTGTACAAACTTCTTTCAGGATTTTAGCAGTTTCTAGAATAGGAAGGGTTCTAGGAAATGTAATCTGAACTCTCCTCTGTTCTCCAGGCTCTTATACATCACATGCATTTTGCACTTCTTGGAATGTCTTCTAATTAACTGGAGAATTCACTTTTCCTATTTGTCAACTCAGTGTTCCCTTACTAGGAACCCTTCCCTGACTCCTTTTCTCATGCTTTCTTGGCCTCTTGTGCACCCCTCCTTCTGAGTCTTTAATACTATCTCCTCCTTGTCTTCCCCTTTGATTAGGAGTAACTTGGGGTCAGGATTTTGGTTGATTGTCTTTTTCTTTATACCAATGTGCCAGTGCTTGTCTTAGATGGCACTAACAAGCATTTTGGAGATAAGAGGCATAAAGGCATGCCATTAGTAATTCCACCCAAATTCTCACTAGATTATCAAATCCTTGGGTGTCAGATTATCTGAAACTTAAATATTCTTCATAGTGTCTATGATAGTTTACCTTAATTATCAACTTGTGATCTAGAATCTTATGGGTGACAGGCATCTGGGCATGCCTCTGGAGGATTATCTCAGGTTAACTGAAGCGGGAAGATCCACCCACTGTGAATGGCACACTCCCTGGGTCAGGGTCCTGGTCTGTATAAAATGGAGAAAGGGAGCTGAGCATAGACATTCATTCCTCCCTGCTTTTTTTTTTTTGATTGTGGCTGTTAATGTGGCCAGCTCCTTCAAGCTCCCACTGTGGTGCTTTCTTCACCATGATGGGCTGTAACCTTGAACTTTGAGCCAAAATAAACTCTTTCCCCCTTGTGTTGCCTTTGTCAGGCTACTCTGTCACAACAACAGTGAAGTAACTAATATAGAATACTAACACCAAGAAATGAGGCCGTTGCTGAGCATGTGGGTCTTGGGCCTTTGAAACAGCTGCCTGGGAAGAATGTGAAAGAGTTTGGAACTTTGGGCTAGAAAAGCTTTTGAATGCTACACACAGAGCTAAAGTGGCCATTCTGGCTGGATCCTGGATGAGAAGAATGGGGAGAGAAGTGCAGAGCATGGAGTCTGGCCCAGCTGATGAGGTTTAGAGGGAAACAAAGACTATTAGGACCTGGCCTAGGGGCCCTATATGTGATATTTTTGTCAAGAATCTGGTTTCATTTTGCCCATGTCCTGAGAACTTGAGTGAAATTGAATTTTAAGGTAACAGGCTAATTTGTTTGGCAGAGGAACTTTCAAGACAGGAGAACATTCAGGCTGGTGCTGATAAAGCAGCTGTAATTGTTGTAGAGATCAGCACTTAACAGAAACCTCCTGAGGACAATAGGAAGGCTGTCCTAAGGGTACAACTCCACTCATTGGAGGCTCCATCTTGTGAAGATGAAAATTCATTTGAAGGGAGAAAATCTAAATTGAACCAGTTCCCAATTCCTTGAAGGCAGCTGCCTACAGAAATATTTCCCCATGTTTAATACATAGAAGCTGATATAGCTGTGGTTCAAAAGCAGTAGACTACATCTTGAGTTGCCAGTAGAACTCAGCGTGTTATCCATGTGGTACTGGTATTGTGAGTGTAGTAGATGTATGAGTGAGGGGGTCATGGAACCATGCCTCAGAGAGTGTCTGAGGCCCCGAAATGTGTATCAGGGTTGGAGTCCCTGCAAGGAGATTAGGGAGGTTATTATGTGATGCTATAAAAGTAAAGCCTAACATGAGTGAAGACCCCAAGATTTTGGTGATGCCAGAACCATAAGATGTCTGGCGAGAAAAAGTACAGGCATGGAGTGCTACATGTGGCAGAGCTGGAGGGGTGGAGTAACTTATGATCTTGGGGCCCAGTGAATTCCATCATGATCCCAAAATGCTGGACATGGAGCTGCAGGATTTGGAGTTTGCCCTGCTTTATTTTGATCTTTCTTTGATTTTTGTCTTTTTGAGACAGGGTAGCCCCAGCTGTCCTGGAACTCACTATGTAGACCAGGCTGGCCTGGAACTCACAAAGATCCACCTGCCTCTCCCTCACAAGTGCTGGGATTAAAGGCGTGCGCCACTGCGCCCGGCAGTTCCAATTATTCTTTGCTATGCCAAGATTCTTCCACTTTGGAGTGGGAATGCTTGTTCTGTGCCACAATATGTTGGAAGTATGTAACTTGATCTTTAATTTATAGGTGCTCACAGTTAAAGAGATTGCCTTGAGTCTCAGATGAAATATGGACTTTTAAACGGCTGGAATTGCTAAAGCATATAAGTACTTTTGAAGTTGGATTATATTTTGCATTATGAATGAATATGAGACTTTAAGGATAGGAGGTGGAAGGTTATGCTTTTAGTAATGTGTTCGGGTGTCCACTTGACAAGGGAAGGAGTTGTGATCATTAATCTCACAATAGTCATCTTGAGATGGGTCTCTGGGAATGCCTGTGAGGGATCATTTTCATTAGGTTAACTGAGGTTCAAAGACACACCCTAAAAGTGGATGGTACCATCCACTGGGCAGAGGTCCTGAGCTGTATAAAAAGGAGGAAGTGAGCTGAGCACTGGCATTCATTCCTCACTACTTCCTGCATATGAATACAATGTGACCAGCTGTTTTAAGCTCCTGCTGCTGTGTCTTCCCCACCAAAATGGACTCTCTTAGAACTGTGAGCCAAAAAGAACCCTTTCCCCCTCAGATTGTTTTGATTAGGGTATTTTAATCATGGCAATAGGCCAAGTGACTAAGATAGCATGTTAACCAACATTACCCAGTGAGCACTCTATGATTAAAACAAGAAGTTTCTTTATTGTTGGATCTTTAGGAGAAAATAATCTATCACTAGTACTGTAACTCATGGTTGAGTCACAAATAAAACTAAGCAAAACAAAACAGAAATGCCTTCCTTTTACCATTTTCTTATTTAGTGAGTGGGGTTAATTTCTTCCATATTATACTTTCAAGAGGAATTTAGGTGGGAGGTATGAACATGGATGTTCATAGCTCACTGTTTATTATACTCCCCTCAACAACAAAAATGGTCATTGATGGGATAATTGATAAATGGTGATATATTCATACAATAAAAAACTATATAGCAAAGAAAATTAAGCATGTGTTCTAAAGTTGAAAACAGAAAAAATGAGTCAGGGGCCAGAGTCTGATTAAAACTTCAGTTTTGGTGGAAAAAGAACACCCCACCATCTTATCACTCAGGCTTCCTCAGGTCACAGGGATCCTATCCCATCTCGGATCTGCATGTCCCTCCAAGTCACTCTCCACCAACTCAGCTCTCAGTTCAGTCCTACATCTCCAGGATCCTTCCCTGCCCCAGACTTGTGGTCCTAAACTCTATCCCTTGGACCTTCTTTCATCCCCACTGTCTGAGTTCTGTGTGCCCCAGACCTGTGAACTTCCACCCTAACATACTGGTAACCTATTCACCTAGTAGCCCCCATTCCACCCCCCTAATCCAGAACACTCTGCAGTCAATTCTGGAATCTTAACTCAAAAGTTTCCCCTATCTCTGGCTGAACTGAGACCACTTCTTTTACCTCAATTCTACAGCAACATAAAGTCACCCCCAAACTAAACACCAAACACTACTCAGCTTAGTTATAACCTGACAAGTAACAAACAAGATACAAACAAGCATTCAACAAGGACAAGATCATTTACCCATTCTAAGAAACACCACCACACAAGTACAGATGGCCAGGTCTCAGCAAAAAAATCACACACAACATGGATAACCAAAATAATATGGCTACTACAGAAATTAACAACGCCATTGAATGTTTCCTAAGAATGACAA